TGGGCCCTGGTGTGTAGCCATACACCACTCCCCCTTGCACCCACTCACCACCCACCAAGGTGGCTACCATTGCGATGCGACCAGAGCTCCAAGCCATGCCACTCTGACTGGCAGGCAACGCTCGTGTAGGGAAGCTTGACAAAACCCCCACACCTACGTACTCACCACTTGCTGTGCCACCCGCACGATGACGAGCCGGGCTGCCCGGTACATAATACGAAAATTTTGACTTGGCAAATTTAAACCCACGTCTGACCGTCGTTACCCCAATCGAAGTCAAGTGAGTCTCTGACATTCCCCATATTCCAGCAGGGAGACTAGAGCAAAGAGTTTCTTTCCCCGCTAATCCTGATGGATTAGCAGCTCCCACCACAAACTGCACGCCCTGTTGGGGGGCTTCCTGCTGTTCCCACCGGCCAGCAAATGCTGGCCACATTGGTCCACTAATCACCCGAGCCGCTGGCGTTTCGCCAGCAGCTCTTCCAGCTTCTGCATCTGATCCTCAAAAAGGCTCTGCATCTTGTGACCCTGCGTCTCAACTGCCGAGTGCAGGCCTTGGATCTGTGTTTGCTGCGTCTGGTTGTTTTCTTGCACTTTCTGCTCAAGTTGAATGTGGCGCGTCGCCAGCTCTTGCAGCTGCTTCTCAAGTCGATCAACTCTGCCTTCCGTCACCGCCGGCATGAGCTCATCTTCCGTCTCAACTCCCTCAGCAGTTTGATTCGGCTTGACCTGCTGTTTCACTTTGTCAACAATGCGCTGCTCCATCTTCTCAATGGCACTTGCTGACATTTGCGGTGGGCTGTACATGACCTGCGGGGCTTTGACAGCCATCTTGCTCTGCATCCAGGGGTCATTTTTAACCAATGGATCTTCACCAGGGTTGATTTTGACCACAGGCCTCACTAGCGGTCGCACAAGGCCAATCAGGACTTCTCCGCCTTTGACATGGATGACACGCTTTGGCGGTTCACTTGTGGATTGAACCTGCCACACAACACCCTGTCCTCCAGTGGCTGCAGCAACTGGTTGCAACGGCCTGGCTGGCCAACCAATGGCTTTCAACACCTGAGCAACATTTTCCCTTTGCGTCCCAAACGGGAGTGGACCAATCTCATACAACTGCTTGAGGCCAGCTTGAAGGAAAGGCACGCCCGGGCGCAGTTCCTGATGCACTTTCTCGGCTTGCTGCACACTCACTCGCACTCCAAACTTGCTGCCATTGCGAGCAATGCTGACATCCTCCTTGATTGCCTGTGCACGTTGCCTCACTTCAAGAAGCAGAACCTTGGGCAACCAAACCACAGTGAACTGATCCGATGGCTTCATCCCATCTGGTGATCTGGGCTCAACATACAGGCCATTCAAGCCGGATTTGGCAAGTAATTTGCTCTGGATCGAACTGGGAACGCGCACATGCACTGTGAACAGATCCGACTCTTTGGCACCAGCCTGCACAAAGCCCAATTTGCAGTGTTGCTTCCTCCAGACGTCCAGCAAGACATCTTGCACATCAGGTCGCTTGGCAGGATGCCATTTCTCACAACTACATCCCGGCATTTCACAGATCTGAAGCGGCACCAGGTTTTCAACAATGGCTTTGATGGGCTTAGCACTGAACAGGTCCCAATCACACACGCACTCATCTCGGTACATGGTGAGTTTCAATGCACTGCTATCAACTTCTCCAAGCTCGCACTGCACCTCATGCTCACACTTGACAATCTCCTGCTGGCCCAACTGGATGATCTGAGCCACGATCAGCATGGGTTCCCCGGTGGCAGCACAGTCTGCCGGGAACCTCACTTCTGCGACCTTCAAGCCACACCCATAGTACGCATCATCTGACGGCACTACCAACAATGCCAGGCCATTGGATGAAATGACCTGACCTGCTCTGACGTAGGGGTCAGCTGCTGCAGCATCAACCACAACTACTCCTTGCGCTGTGGCGCTAATTTCATGAATGTGCAGCTGCTTAACATTTGCACCACCATGAACCTGGAACACCGAGTCTCGCACCACAACTTGGTCTGGCAAAATCGGCCTGCCAGATGCTCGCACCGTGCTACTGTTCTTTGACCCACCTTTGGATCCACCTTTGGGCTGTTTCTTACCAACAGGTTTTCCCTGCGCTGCCCTGCGTTCAATCTGCTGCTGCAGCTCATCAGGAAGCACCAGGCGCACAATTGGCTTCGCGCGGCTACCAAGATGCTTAAGCTCACCCCACACGTTGGAGGATTGCATAGCTTTCTGTACCGGCTCAACTCCTAGAACTGACACCACATGGTTGGCACGCTCAGTAATTAAGCCTATCAGGGTACACTCCATGTTTCGCAAGCTCGGCCTGCAATGCAATGACAAGCTCATGTTTTGCTTGCGCCCCTGTCCCTTTCCCTGCGGCAAGGATCCACGGCTGCATGACCGCAGCCTGACACTGCACATGATTGCGGAATGCACTCTTCAAAGCTTCTGGGCTGGCAAACTGTTGATGATTCCATGCATCACTGACTGCGTGTGCAATGAACTGCACTGCATAGAACCCACAATGCCCCGCAATGTCTCCTGACTCATCACGTCTGTCTACTTCAATCTCTGCGCATCCAAGGGCATGGGCAACTTGGTTATGCATTCTCGCACTCCCATCTGCATGTTCTTGAGCACATCGGATTGTGACCACTAAGCACTGCTCACGGATGGTGTACACAACTGGGATCCAATGCCGCTCAACACGAAGCACTGTGACAACCGCAATCCGGGCTGGATCAACAACAACATGCTGTCTAGCCCAGTCAGCAAACCATGCACCAACATCCTGCTCTACAGCTTGGCAAGCTAGCAATGGATCAATGATCCACACATCACAGCTCTGCGTGGCCTGCTGTACACTCCGCATGGCATACAACAACTCATCATCTGCCCAATGCACATCTTGAGCATCCAGCACCTGCAACCTATCTGCTGGGGTGTGAATGGCAACCCTCCAAGCCTGAAGGCCAACATGTGCGACACACGGCGCTGCACACTCCAACATGGTCCTGACATGCGCTGCAACCTGACCTTCGCCACCATTGGCCCTGGCCGATCTCGCAATGGCATTGCTTACATCACTTGGCACTTCTGTGGCTAAGGCTGCACTCACACTGGTCCGCATGGCCTCCTCATCACTGCTGCACTCTAGCACTGGCACTGCAACCTGAATGCAAATCATCTTACCTGCCGCGGATTGCCCAGCCTGCAGGCCTTCTTGACCATCCTTAACAGCTAGCTGACACTGCTCTCCAGGGATGGCATTTTCAGCCTGTAACACCTCTGCAACCGTCGTGGTTGGCTGCACACGGATCTGCAAGCTGGTGCTACCATCATTGACAACTGCAAATTGCTTGGCTTTCTCAGGCACAGGTTTCTGGTGAAACATGTCATCTGCACTACCTGCTGCAACCCACTCATCAGGGCCTTTCATTGGAGCAGACATCACTTTGTGGGTAGTCTCAAGCACAAGCTTTTGAAAGGCCGACAGCAACGCAACCGGGTCCTGACAAGGCTCACCTGTGACACATGCAATGGATTGCTGTACCCATGCCCCTACCCACACTGCCTGGATCGGCGACGCAACCTGTCCGGTGACAGCCAACCCTAGCCTCATGTCTGGACCAAACGGGCAATCTGGGTACATTCCTACCAAGCATGCAACTTCCCGCGGATGCAAGTGCCTAAGCACTTGATGCAGGCTCCCATCAGCATGCCGCTCACACCTGTCCACAACCAATGCTCCATGTAGCCCTTTGGCTTCAAGTCTGCTTTCGGAGAACGGGTAAATCCTGCACCCACAAGCACACCCATACACTTGGCTACCCCATGAATGCAACGCCGTGGGGGCAGCTGCATCTGCCCTAATCACGTATGCTTGAAGCGGCTTGAAGTCTGCAAACCTGCGGAGTTCATATGCAGTCAACTCAATCTGTCTGGTTTCCGATTTCGGCCACTTCCTAAGACTTGGCAGAATCTGCATCACCTTCTGGTACTCTGGGCAACTGGGGAGCTGCGGAAGCTGCATTGGTGCAACTGTGGGATGCGCAATGATGCACCACCACCTCAGCCTGTTAGAGCACCATGCATTGCTCAGTTGCAGCACTTGTTCAACCACCTTGAACCCAACCTGCCGTGCAAAACTTTGAATCACCTTTTTGACCCAAGCATCTGCTCCTGCCTGTGGCACACATTCAAGAATTATCACCTGCGCCTGGAGCAGGTATGCTATCTTAAGCGTGCTAGGCAACGTCATTGCCCTCAGGTCTGCACCTCCAGCTTGGTCTCCCAATTGTGAGTACGGCTGACAGCTGACTCCTGCAATGACCACTGAAGCATTGGTCTGTGCCCGCAAAATGCTTCCATGCGTTTCAGGGTCAGTGATGTCACCTTGGATGGCGTTGGCATGTGCCTGCATTCTCATGACATCACAGATTCGCGTCATCCATTCCACCTGCAACACTGATCTGATTCCTGCAAATGCCAGGCCCTGACCCATTGCTCCACAGCCTGCACACAGTTCCACCGCCTTTGCCAAATCCACCTCTGTCTTGGCTTGCAATGGCACCAAAACCGACTTCTCATCTGGCTTAAGCACTGCCACCGCACCAGATTCCTTGTCTGCTTTGTCCACCACCACATTGATTGCTGCTACCAGTCCTCCTCCAGGCACATCACCACAAATCCGAATCCGCCTCTGATGCAGCAACGTGTACCCGAGGTACAGTCCACCACACCTGAATTCAGGTACCACCACGACTGAGGCCCTGAGCTGGCTCAGGTCTTCCAGATCCATTGCACGAACCCTGGGCCCATCAGCCGACGCAGCCACACCCACTGGCAGGCTTGGACCACTCGTGGCTATATTTCACCAACCTGAAATAAGGTGGTTGGGGGGTCATTCCAACCACATAAACAACACCATTTGGGGTGAATTCGGTTTCACCCAGAATGTCCCAGGTACAACACCCAGCCTTGGAGTGCAAATGTGCCACTCCTCGCACGACCTGCTCGAAACCTCAGCTCCAAAACTCGCTTCGCGGCTCGCGGGGGCCGAGTAAACCTGGCCCCAGAACCAAAGTCACCTGGCTGTGGCTCCAAAAAAACGGAATACCAAAATGGAACCTGGGTAAGTGGAAACATGGACCAAAACCTGCGGTTTGCCCCTACTGTTTAATTTTGAGCCACACCCACCTAAGCGTGTTCAAGGCAAACCACCAACCAGTTAAAAGCGCGGGCAATCTTGGGGCTTTTTAGGGTTGAGCCTTAGCCTCTATAGCTACACGCCCTTAGACTTCGGCTACAGTGTTGCCTATTCAGGAGCCCTCGTTTTTTTGGGTTTTACAAGTGCAAAAGGTGCCATTCCGATTCCCATGTGGGCGTGTCTTCTTCTCAGTTGGTAACCCCTTTGTGGCTGGGGTTTAAAGGGAACCCCTCATTCTGTGGCCCATTCCCGGAAAGGAACAAAAAAAAAACATCATCTTGTGGCCCATTCTCCGGGGAGAAAACAAAAACATCACATTCCCGGAAAGGAAGAAAAAAACAAACACATCATTTTGTGGCCCATTCCCGGAAAGCGGGAGAACAAAAAGAAAACAACACCCATTCGGGAGTCGCGAAGTTGTCCAGGTCGGGTGGCAGTTGTTGACCTCCGACTCGTCCATCCGCTGCCCAGGGCGGCCTCCCCAATTTGAAACCCGCAGCCTCTGGGGTTGGAACATGGAGCTGGGATGGCTGTGGTTCTCAAAACCATAGGTGCACCACCCATGTTAGGCTTCCTATTTCACTGGTTGGATTGAATCGGATGTTCACTGGGGGTACATGGGATCCATTTTTTTCCCCATGCACTTGACCCTACAAAGGTGGCCCCTGATTTTGAGACACCCCCAGGTGATATATTAATGGCTGTGGTGCTCAAAACCACAATCGCGCGCGCCTAGAAGCATCTGCTCCACGTTGGGGCCTGAAATCCGGTCGAGAGATCGAAGCAAAAAGGCACGGACTGGGGTTGGGTGTGGGGGTGGGGTGGGGTGGGGGTGGGGTGGGGGTGGGGGCGTCGGGGTGACCTGTAAATCTGCCAAAAAGACGCTGAAAGCCTGGATGACTTGTAACCTGTTTAACACAAAGACGGTTGAACCAAACCTCTTGGTGCCCCTGATTGCCTGTTCCAACACATGTTGGCCAACCAAAAGCCTGAGAGTACATTGCATCTCAAATGTCTTCTGAATTTCTCCCGTGGCATAGCTTTTTCGCCCGAAGAGGTTGGAGATGTTTCTCGCGTAACCGGAGCATGCCCTGCGGCCTTCAACGGCGTTTGGCGCCTGGGGCCCGCGCTGCCGGCAAACTCCATGACCAGAAAGATCCGGGAGGAGCTGTGCAACTTCTCCAAACACTTGGTGATGTTCGGGTGCCTCCCAGGGAGCACGTCTTGGGTCTCTCTGTCTTGAGTCCCATCTTTGGTTTGTTTCTTCTTTTGTTGTTGTCTTTTGTTCCCTTATTGTTTCTATGGGCAACCAAGAAGAAAACACACATCTTTTTTGTGGGTCTTTCTTGAGTCCCATGTTTAAGGTGGTTTTCTATTGGGCAACCAAGAGGAACACCATCTTTTTTTGTGCGGGGAGGTTCCCCTATGACAAGCCTCATGAATTGTTGGTACGTGATCGACCTGTGGATGGTTTCCGGAATCCATTTTTTCGCACCACCGAAATGAAACCCTGGTCGAAACCATAACGCTTGATACGGCACCTAGGTCCTCCAGTAGAGAGGTTAGAATAAGGGTACCCACTTTTTTTCGGTTTTGTCTATTTCAGTAGGGGAACCCTCCCCCAAAAAAGATACGGTAAAAGGGCACTACTGGGGGACCTAGGTACTTACGTTCTGGAACCAACTCATCCGTTGGGTTTCTGGCAGTGGTGCGCAACGGATTTCGCAACCGTCCACAGTATCACCTTTGCCATGTGTCTCTTCTCCGGTACCCGTTTTGGGGTCGGTTTAAAGTCTTCGACATGGGTGTGCCCCTTTGTTGGAGTAATTAACCCTTTCCTCACTTCATGCGTGGATTTGCCCGGTTTTGGAGTAGCCTTTTCCTCACTTCCTGATTGGATTGGCAACCAAGTCCACTTCCTATTTACCAAAATGGGTAGGGGTCAAAATTAAACCGCCAGGCGACCGCAGGTTTTAGTCCATGTTTCCATTTTGAGTACCTATTTTTGACCCACAGCCAAATGGTCTGCCCATATTTAAAGCCCAGGAACTCAGGAAGTGAGCTTGGCTGAAAGGATCCGAGGGGCTTTAGCCACTTTTGAAGCCATTTCGGAGGTTCTCCTTTGAGGCTTGGACCATGTTTGCGTAACTCATGTGGCTCATGGCCCCCATACAAATTGTCCAGTGAGGGGTTGACAAGAGCTATCAGCCATATGGGCTTCTCATGTTTTGGGTTGACATTTTTCTCGAACAAGGTGAAAAACAAGTACATTGGTGATGGGATGGACCTGTGGGGGGACCCCGAAGACGGAGGTCGGGCTTCCTCTTGGTTTCCCTTTGAAGCCAAAAAGGGCGGCCTCCAAAAATGACTGACCCATATGTTGCGCTCGGATGAAAAAAAACACTTCTGGCATATTCTTCGGGGGGTGTTCTCCCCAAGAGGTGATCCGGATCATCGAAATGGACACGCAGATTCGCTGTGGATTCGCTGTGGATTCACTGTGGACAAATGCAGGCGGGATGGATGAACCCGCATAATAGTGATTAACAATACTTTCCCCCCAACAATCAAGTAAAACAATAATAATAACTGGAATAAACCAGCTCAGCGGACAGTCACAACGTCCAACGCATCGGTTTTCAGGGCGAACCCACCTGTTTTGCAAGCCAATAAATTGATGAAACACCGTGTTGGCCATGTGTTTCAGCCTGCTTTTTGTTTCCCCTCGAAGTGGTCAGAGTGGGCCAAGGTCGGCTTCCCCTTAAACCGCTTGAGATATTGATGTACAGCTGTGTTGACTGTGACAGCCTGCTTTTTGTTTCCCTTCATGGTCAAAGTGGGGGGGACGGTTTCCCTTCAAACCACTTGATAAACAAAGGTCTGGTCGCCCATGGCGTGGTGCGCAGCCTGCGCCTACTTTTCCCGCCTGACCACTTCGCCCATGAAGCGGTACTCCCGGTAGATGGACTCCAAAGAACTTGGGTCCTCGACCTAAAAAAGGAGCGCTTTGGGGGTCTCAAAAAAAACTTGGAACCCCCGAAACTCAATTCCTGAGTGGATAAACTTTTTGGGTACCGAAATCCTCATCATGTGAATCAGGGGCCCGGCTTTTGCTCATGCGAGACCCACAAACTGCCCTTGCTTACATTGGGCATCGCCCCAAACCCCAAACATGTTGGGGCGACACCACATTCATCTGGGTGAATTATAATATTTCACCAACCTGAAATAAGATGGTTGGGGGGATAAACCACCATTTGGGGTGAACTCGGTCGTGTGTGGTCGGTTTAATTCACCCACATTGTTGGGACCTCCAAACATCAACACCAACAAAAAATATAAGGGCTTGAGGAAGAAGGCAACTTTCTGAAGTCAGCTGACTTTTCTTGACACATGTCATGGTTTCTCTGTCGTCGAGAAAGACGGGTTTCCTGCCTCCATGACCCCCACAACTTTGGAACAGCAGGAGAAAACCAACTGGGTTAAAACCACAAGTCCTTGGGCAAAATGCGGCTTGTTCCCAACTCCAAACCCCCAAAGACCCCATTTCGGGTGCCTTTTTTAAGCTTGGACTCCCCAAAAAGGCCCAAACATGGATTTTGGTTTCCCTTTGGTTTCCATTTAAAAACCACCCAAACAAGGGGCTACCAACTCAAGGAGAGACACACGCCGAAAGCCCATGCAACTTCGCATAGCTGAGCCGCTTGGGACTTGTCGAAGACTTTGATGGCCACGGCTTGGTGCTCTTCGTCCACTGCCTATCCCCGAAATGGGCGTTCCGGCTTCCGTCTGGTTTGCCTTTCCCAGAGGCTCCTGGATTCGGGTAAACCCCTCCATTAGACACCCCGGAGGTGGTTCGGGGTCTCAAAACCAGGTGGTTTGAAGGCCCTAAATCAATCGGGAGCCCTGTGGGTTAAAGCAATCCCAACAGGGTGGTTCTACTTCAACAACCAAAACAGAAACATGTCGCCGGAAGAGACACACGACCCTCCCCCCGAAGAAACAAACACCTAACAAACAGAGGAGGTTGTCCGCTTGTCTCCCTTGAAAATAACCTGAAAAGGGAACCGTCAAACACCACACGTACACGCACACACCTGCCTGAAGCACGGTGCCCTTCTTGGAAGGAAGCCTCCGGCCGAAACGAGAAACCCTCCGGCGCCCTGCTGCGGGAATGAGTTAGGGCACAACCGGTCTGGGCAAATGAGAAAATCCATGTCCAAACCGGGAAAAGGAGAAACCCCATGCAACCACCAAAGGACCGGTCAGAGGTGTCGGTTTCACCCCGAATCGGTAAGCTTTGCGTGGCGCTTGCCTCAATCCCCCCTCGTATACCCTTTTAAAATGGCGCTAAACAAACGTTTGCCCCCAATGGGACCCCTACCGATATTTGGGTGTGCCTTTTTAGAGAACCCCCCAACATGGTGGCTTTCCTTTTGGCTTCCCTTTGAAAGACCTACCACCAAACAAAGACGAGCCACCCATTTCCCCCACCCAATCTTCCAATGCCTGAGGCCCGTAACAAAACTGGGCTGCCCTCAGATCCCCCGCTACAAGTGACGAACTCTTCGTGGATTGAATGGAAGCTACCACTAAACTTGCTAAAAGGATCTGAGGAGCTAAGGAACCGGACGGCTGGCTGGCCAGAAAACCTTCACTTGGGCCGTGGCTTGCAAATCAGCCGATAGCTCCCCACAGAGTTGCCGGTCTCCAGGATCTGCTTGTCCAACTGGCCTGGGGCGAACGGCCCACTTCGCTTGCCGTGCGGTGCGCAGGGTAGGAGGGACACCGAGTCCGGGAGGTGAAGGAACTGTTTGGGAACTCCCTGAAAGGAAACCGGGGATGCTTGATAGGGCTCATTTTCCATTTCAAGGGTGTCCACTCCCCCCAAACCGGAAGCTACCAGCCGCAGGGGAATTTGGGGTACACACCCTTTACATAGTAGCTTTTCTAGTGGGCTGTATGTCCCATTCCCCTGTGGCTTCGGTTTGGGTGGTAACAATCTTGACCCACCAAAAGGTGTCAACACCTGAGTCAAATCAAAACCCGGTATTAAGATGGTCTACCCAGAACCATGTAAAGAATTACGAAGGCGGCCGCAGCTATTTATGGTTGTCTCTTACTAGCTTTCACTTACCCGATTTTTTGTTTATTTCGGCTCACCTATGGTTTTGACTGGGGCGCGTTGGCCATCATGCCGTGCTTGGAATTGATTCTGCAAATTAACGTGGCAAGGCCGCTGTTTCCGATGGCCTCAACTCCGTGTGCCTCTGATCCACGGCTTGGCACGTGTGACGCTTCCACAGTGGAATTTGCACCGGCTGTGCCGACGTTTTTCTGGGGGGCGCCCCCTTTTTTGGCGGGGTGTTTCCGGGAAACGAGCTGGAAAACCAAGAATCGCCGTTCAGAAAGCCAGGCACATATGTCCAATTGCCACGGGACACAGGCATGTGAGGCCTGAAAAGAAAACCCACGCCCTCTGTATGCCGACAGAGTCTTCCTGATGAATCGCTTTCTTTGCAGGAAGGGAAAGGGGAAGGTTGGGATGGTGCCTTTCTGGCCCCATTTTTGTTTCAGTCTCACTGGGAAAGGGGTAAAGGGAATCAATTCGGCCATGGTGCCGGGTTGTTTCTTGAAGGACGGACTTGGTTTCAGGGAACCAAAAAAAAGGTGTTCCGAGGCTTTCGAGCGGCTCAAGTTTTCGTTCCGAGGAGTCCGGCGGAACTCCGGCATCAAAGTGCCGGGGATCTGTTGCCAGAGCAGGTCCGCGTGCTCCTCCTGGGGCTCCGAGAAGAGCTTTTGCCAATTGGCATTCGCGAAAGCTGCCGGGTGGTTTTTGAGGGGACCTTCCCCCGCAAAAAAGATTGACTTGATGGGCTCTCCGTTTTCGGATGCGCTAGAAGTGACGGCAACCCGACCGCTAAACCAACCAAAAAGCTAAAAGGCTAAGAGGATGGCTGGGAACCAAGTAAAGTACGGGAGTCCTTTTGGCTTGCCTTTGAAAAGACCACAGGTTTGAATGGGAACTATGGACGCGAAACTCGGTTGCTTTCTGCTCCCCTGCTAAAAGTTGAACTTTTAGGGGTTTAGTTCGGAAAACCCCTAAAAGTTGGCAAATTGTTAAAGTCCTAACCTCCCTTGGCAAAATGCACCAAAGGAAATCTACCTAGGAAACCCTCGTTTCTGCTTCGATTCCCCAACGCGAATACCAATCGTTCTGGGTTTCAACCCACGGTTTGATTTCGGTGGTGCGAGAAGTGGATGTCGCGTCACCATCCACAGGTCGATCATATACCGAACATTCATGAGGCCTATAGGGGAACCTCCCCCCCACACAAAAAAGGACGTGTTCTTCCTGGTTGCCCATTCAAAAACCACCCTGAAAAATGGGACTCAAGAAAGACCCACCAAAAAAGATGTGTTTTTCTTGGTTGCCAATTCATAAAAACCACCCAAAACTGGGACTCAAGAAAGACAGACCCAATATGTAGATCCTTTGAATCCACCCAAAATGGGACTCAAGAAAGACCAGGCCCTACGTCAACCATTCCAAGCAGTTCCAAGGAATTCCCGGTCTCCGCCGCCGCGAGGTTTGGCGAAGTGGCGAGGGGGGGGAAGGACCCGAAGAAAACAAATCCCGAAGACAAACCAACCTAGGCTGTCCAAACCGATCCCCCGCTAAGAGTGACGAGGGCGAAGTGGAAACTAAACACTAAAAGGCTACGAAGCTAAGGAACCGGATGGCTGGGAGCCACCGAGCAACCTCAGTTGCCTAGGTTGGAGCCAGAAATACACTAAAACAGGTGGTCGCCTAACAGGGCATCACGAAAAATAGGAAACTGTTCAACATTGAAAAAGAAACACAAAAGGTGGAACTCAGGTTGACTCGCTTTGGGCAAGTGAGGTGGTAAGTTCCAAACAAATCAGCGTCCCCCGTTCTTTGGGTGTCTTTTTTGGGAACAAACCGTTACGCCACACATAAAATGGTAGTCTCAAACATCACAAAAGGGCTCCTGGGAAGCAAAATACATCCACGAGAAAGCAGATCGTGGTAAGCCCCAAAGCAGTAGACGACCAAAAGGTCAAAAGCTTTGGGGAGCTTCCAAACAATGATGTCTATTCTTCTTGGGAGACCCCCCCCCAAACAGAATGTGTGTTTTCTTGGGGCTTCCCTAAAAAAAACACCAGACAGGGGTATAGCCACAAAGCTCCGCCCTGAAACCGCCCAAAGAAACCCGAGGTCTCGCATCCCGCGATCTCCTGACATCTCGACGCCTCCTCAGCCACGTCATACTCGATCTCGGCCTCGCACGAAGGAAGCCCCCCCGCGGCTCGGGAGATCGGGCTTCGAGACCAAAGGAGATATCTGGGCGGGCGGCTGATCTCAAAGATCGGGATCCCTCCAAACATAAGGATCAAACCCACTATATATGGGTGTGGCTCAAAATTAAAGAGGTAGGGTTAAGCAGGTTTTAGTCTTTGGTTCCATTTACCAGGGTGCCATTTTGGTACATCTTTTTGACCCACAGCCATATAATTACATATAACATATCATCTATATATATATATACACTAGGTCCTCCGGTAGAGAGGTTAGAATAAGGGTACCAATTCTTTTCTGCTTTGTCTATTTTAGTAGGGGAACCCTCCCCCCAAAAAGGGTACAAGGGCAGTACTGGGGGACCTACTATATACATATGACATATATACAGCTATATATATATATATATATGGATAGATACTTAAACATGTATATATGTATAATACCTAGAATGCCAATAGCCCTTAAGCATCAGGAATCGGGATCAATCTCAAAACCTCGAAGAAGGATATAAACCTCAAAAAGGAAGGATCAAGCCCAGTCAGGCTTACCTCAGAAATAAAAACCCGGATCAAGCTCCAAAATCCAGATCCCCGGCAAATGGGCTGCGTTTCCCGTTGGCTTCCCTTTAAGAACACCTCAAAATTTGGTGCCAACACACACACACCACACACACACCACACACACACACACACCACACACACACACACACACGCACATGGACGCGTCCAAAGAGGGAAGGGTATAAGCTTCATGACTTGCTTTCCTTCCCGAGTTTCCCTTTGGCCAAACTGTGGGGTGCACTAAACATCATAATATGTTCAGGCTCTCTTTCATGTGTTCAGTCAATCTTAAAATATGAGAAATATCTTCTGAGACCCGAGAAAACAAGGAAGTTCCTCCCAGTTTTGAGTTTCCCTGACCTGTTCTGCAGCTATTCCCACTTCTTAAAATATATCAACATCTTCTGAGACCCACTTGTTGGTCAGGGACCTTCATGGGCGAGCTCCGTTCTACCTCAGTTCGGTGAGCTCGCCAAGCTTTTTTTTGCGACAAGTTCTGGGAAGCCTGCGGCCCTGGACCCTCCCTGAAACCGCCGGTTTTGACTCACTGAGTGGATTGCCCCACTTGCCCCTTAGGGACCCAGAAAGAAAAGGTGATCACCTTTTGGGGCCATGACTCAAACCAAAAGGTCAAAAGGTCGGCTTTGGGCAACTGAGGATTGCCCCAAAGGAGATCCAAACTGGGCGTCCAAAATGGCTTTCTCGAATGAGTATGGGAGCGATATCTGAGGGTAGTTTGAGAGTCCAAGCACTCTCCCTTGGCAGATCGAGGACCCAGCGTTCAGCATGAGCTTGCTACGCAGGATATTCCTGGCAGAGCCGACGGGGAAAACAGAAAACCCAAAGGGAAAAGGTGTAAGCACCGTATCGCAGATGCCCAGTGGCCATGGAAAAAAGGGCATCCTTTTTGGGTTGGTTGACTTTAAAGGGAAATCCTTACTGAATCCCTTACTGAGAAAAAGGGAAAAAAGGCACCACTGGGCAACTGGGGTATCAACATATGACCAACACATCACAAATCACGACTTTGCCCAATTTACAAACCAAGTGCTTGTTTGTTTTTGGGGGGTCTTGGTTCTTTCTTCCGGGCAATTCCACTACAGCCCCTTTTAATATATATATATATATATTGTGTATGGGTCAAAATTAATCCACCAGGGGACCGCAGTTTATAGTCCTTGAAATCCCTTTTATCAGGGGAACCCATTTTGGGTACCTATTCTTGACCCACACCGATATATATATATATATATATGTATTTTTTTTATTGGGGGGGGTTCCCAGTAGGCTGAATTTGACCCTCTTGACCCTCTCTCCGCCTGCGGCCCTGCCCGGCGGTGCGGCCAAGAGGCGTCTCCCACATGGCCCGGGCGAGGTGGATGGCGCGCTTCAGGGACTCAGCGACTCGTATCTTTTGATTTGTTTCGACTGGGAGGGGTTTGAATGAACTGGGCGCGTCGGGTCCATTCTCTAACCCGATATGCCGCCGTCCGGGATGGGGTTTGAACTGGGCGGGTCAGGTTCATCTGTAGTTCGAGGATTGAATTCCTTTGGTGAAATATACACCTTAAACAGGTTTGATTTGGGCTCAGGTCCATCCGGTTTTGGTGTTTGGCGCGATCTGTTTTTTCGCCGTCTGGTTCTTGGGTTTGAATGAACTGGGCGTCCCGCTCGTCGATTCTCTAACCCGAGGTGTGAATTTCTTTGGTTCGAAATATACATCAGAAATCCAAATTCCTGGTTTGGTTTGAAATATGGGTATGGCTCAAAATTAAAGAGCTGGGGTTACGCGGCTTTTAGTCTTTGGTTCCATTTACCAAGGAGCCATTTTGGTACCACCTTTTTGACCCACAGCCATTTGCCCCATCCAAAAATAGACTTTTTTGGGAGCTTGGGAAGGGAGACAGTGCGATTCTCTTGTTGGTTTTGGATGGCTTGACACCGCCAGTTCGGACCCAAAATGTTGGTTGGCTCAGGCGAAAAGGGGAAAGCGTCGTAATAGGGATCCCTTTTTGGAGCAACTCACACAGAAAGTTCGTTTCCCCAAGTGCTTCAAGCTTCCACAGGTCGCCAAGCATGTGCCTCTTGGTGTTGAAGGCAACCAAGGGTTGTGGGTTCCCCTGTCCAAGAAACCAGCATGCCAGACAATTCTAAACACAATTCGCCCAAACCCTAGAAACTTGGTGGGTGTGTTGCTTTCTTCCTTCTGAACTTCCCGTAGCTGGTTTTATGACTAAGGAAATTACTTCACCTAAGCTGAAGTAGCCAAAAGCGACCTTCTTCTTGTGTGACCTCGCTCCAAGGTAAGCAAAGTGATTTGCGCAGAATTGATGACACACCAGTGTCCGGAGAAGCCACAGCTTCCCGAGTAGGAAAGACATTTTTGTCTGTTCCAGTTTCAACCCCAACCTTCATCTTGTCTGATGTGTTCCACTCGCTTCGATATCCTTGTAATGTGGGTTTTGGGATTTCCCTTACCCCAAAGAAGGTCAGAGTTTTACGCACCTAGAAACCATAGACCTTTTGGTTTTTCAGATCCATGGCGCTGGTAGAAATTTTGGACAAACCCAGCTAAACCAGTAAAACCCACATGAACTTCCAACCAAGCTCTCAGATAAAAGGGACATCTGCGGTGAATGAATGAAATCCATTTGGCACCACTTAAAAAACCCGGGTTTCTGATACATTTCCCCTGTACATTGACTACCGACGAACAGTGGCTTTTTGTCATGGTTTCTTAGGTGGCGCGACATGGATTTCGCACCACACCACCACCTAAGTATGGGCTTCAATCATGGTTTCATTTCGTGGCGCGAGAAGCGGATTTCGCAACCATCCACAGTATGGTAGACACTCCACGCCTGCGAGATGGCGCATGTCTCGATTTCCAAAAAGCGGGGCCCCAGCTGCCGGATCCCGGTCTGGTTCGAAGAGCACGTCATCCACCCCCGCCGCCAGCATCTCATTGTGCCGCCTGGGTGCTCTTTCTATCTGCGGATGGTTGCGAAATCCATTTCGCACCACCTAGGTTGAAGCCATTGGGTTGTTGGTAATTTACAGGAGAATCGAATGATTTCAGGGTTTCTTATGTGCAGGAGGTCATCCGTCCACAGTAGTTTTGGCCGTTTTTGGCGAGGAAACCAAATACCCACCTTTCGTTTTGGTGCTTTCTGGGCCCAGCTCTGGCTACAAAAACTATGCGGTAGAAATTATGTATATCTCTGGTCTGGATTGGTGGCTTCGACGGGTCAATCAAAAGGCTGAACGCCCCACAAATGCATACGGAGGAACCGGCCCCCAAATCACCCCTCCTGGCTCGGACAGCTTCGGAAAGAACCCTTTCGACTTTGTTCGGGCCGTCCACTCAGGAAGTGAGTATTGTATGCTATTAACTTTTATTGGGGACTGAGTGCTGCAGACCAGCCATGGAATCTACGTGCGAGGGTGTTCCCAATTCAAGTTCCTGGCCAGAGTCCCACAGCTTTGGTTGCCATGTTGATCATTCCCTTTCTAGGTCCCCCAGTGCCCTTTCTCGCCCCTTTGTTGGTTGGGAGATTCGGTTCCCCTACTAGAATAGAGTACAGAAAACGTTGTTACCCTTCTTCTAACCTGACCTAGCTTTGATGTTCTTAGGAAAATTGAGTTGTCTATCGTCCCAGCTTGCGAGGCATGCTTCGTGCGCTCCTTCGATCCCCTCAAGGCAAGCCGCGGCCCATTTTTTTCCATCCCGCGCAACGCCGCACGGCGACTCGCGGCATCTGTCGAGGCGCCCATTGGCCCGACCAGCTCCAGAATCAAACGCCTATCCAGGGTTGCTCCTTGCGACCCGAGACCAAAGTTCGGTCATTCAGCCTCTGATTCGAACCTTTTTTGGGGTGGTTTGATAATTGGAAGTAACCTGAGTCATAGTGAACCAAGAAAGAACGTTCAAAGGACTCGTGAGGTTCTACACCGGTTTTCATCTAGCGGCTTGGAGCAACCCCGACCTATTCCATCTACACAGGGGTGACTGGATTTCCCCTTCAAAAGTTGACCGATGAACCTGGTGGGTTTCAATGAAACAAATTCACCACTTTTGGAGGACTCCCCATGACAACTCCACAACTTACATGGTTTTAGTTAGGGCCACACTATGTTTGTCTGTTGTTGTTGTCGGTGGACCTCCACAACTTATGGCTCCACCCCCTGTTGGATTTCAATATGTGTGCGAATTACTATAATTTCTAACCGGCAACAACAGAATATCCAAGTTTATACGGGGCCGCCTTCATTCTTGCATACGCGCATCCCCCCCCTCCCGATCGGTGAGCTCGCAAACAAAATGTGCGCAAATATGTCAACTGCTTTCGTTTGGCCGCGGTTGGGCATCTGTCAAAGGCGGGTTGCCTCTTCGTCTCCCTTTAAACCCGCCGCAAAACGGGGGAAGCCAACTTCAAGAATACACGTCGACTGTTTGAGTTTGTCTTCAACCAGGTGTCCCCAAGAATGGCAAGGGTTTCTTGTTGGTTTCAGTGGTGTCCCCCAAACATGTCATGGAATTCCTTTTGACATGTTTGGTTTTCCTTTCTCCCCCAACCAACAGGTTGTCAAAAAAAGGACAACAAAACTGAAAAAAACAAAAACAAGATGTCCGTGGTTTTGTCAGCGCCCCAAAAGGCTAAAGGGGCGGAGGCTTGCTTGCATCTCTTTTCTCCGAACGATCCGAACCCCTGATGTTCAGAGCCGACACCCCTTGCCCAAAGCGAATCAACCGGATTTCACCTGTTGACATTTTCCCATGTTGGTTCAACCATTTTTTAGTGCCAAAAGGTGATCACCTGACTATATTTCCGGGTGAATTTTGGGGATGTTCATCCAAGTTGGGTCCAAATTGGGGCCATTCTTTCGATGTTGACCCCGGTTTTTCACCAACCAACCAGCTTATGAAAATAGGGGGGTGCTTCTCCATTTCAGGGTTTAGTGGTTGGAATTAGACCACTTTTGGAGGGCCCCCACTCCCCTATTAAGAAACTTGGGTTCGGTTTTTTCTGGGGTCAACACTAGGAAGTTCAAGTGGACATGGACTCTTCATATCGTTTCAAATTGGTTGACCCCGGAATTTTCATCAACCAACTTACCAGACCACTTTTAGAGGGAAGCCGCACGCTTTTGGGTCCAAATGTCAGTTCAAAGTCCACCCGGCCACTTCAGAGCTTGCTCTCCATGGCTCTCCAGGTGCTAGCGCTCGCGGCCTTCGAAGGCTTCCTCGGAACGTCCCGTGACGGGGGAAATTCGACATATTTGTGTGGAGTTCTCGTTCTTTTTTTCCCCCAGATAGCTGGAAGTTGCAGGGCTTCTAAATTCCGAAGTTTTTCTTTTTTTCGCCCAGATAGCTGGGATTTTATAGGGCTTCTAACTTCTAAAGAGGGGAAAGTGGTCGGGCATGCAGGTGACGCGACGGCCGGGTGCTGTTTGGGGGGCGCTCTTCGGGGGTGCTGTTGGAGGTGCTGGTGTACAAATGTTTGCATTTGTTTCGACATCTGGGGCCTATGCTGGTTAAAGAGAAAACAACAAAATACAATATACTTGTTGAGGCTCGGTTGGAAACCAACAGGAAAAGACAGCACGATTTGGAAGATATCCCCATTTTTTCAACTACTGACGCATTAGTGAAAGTAGGTGTATCATATACGAGAAAACAAACGGCTACAAAGCTCTGTTTGAAACATGAACAATTGAACCAACTCTGGTTGGCCCTTCAACAATGCTTGGCTCTTTTTTTGAATAGGTGGGATGCGGCAGGTTTGGGCTTTTGTTGACGAAACAAGTGGCTGTGATCGTTTCAGGGATTCCCACGCGCTTTTTGTTTGATTCTTTATGGGGTTGCAACAAAAACCTGGCAAGGCTAGCCTGTTGTTCTTTGGGTTGTCGGAAGAAGAAACAAACAGGTGATAAGGTTGATCCCTGGTTCCCTTTCAACAAACAACTCCATTCCAACACCGGTTAGTTCCCTTTTGTGGGTGAAGAAAAAGGGGATTCGGGGCGGAGCGGGGGTCCTGAAATATAGAAAAATGTATGGGAGGAATTTTAGCATGGCATTGCAAGAGTTTCCCCAAAAACAACTTGCGGGAATCTGACAAAGACAACAACAGCCCTGTTTGGCCCCCCAACACACTGTCAAAGTGGGCATGTGTCAAAACATGGGCACCCAACAAGCTCGGGTTTTCCTTTTGGTATCCCTGTACGCTTCTCACTTCCCGAGATAATTGGTCAAACACAGTCCAACATACACCGCTAAAATGGTCCAATCCCAAATTTTGTAAAGTCCAGAAACTCAGGAAGTAAGACACCCACCTGAAACGGATACGTTAAAAGCAACAAGCCCAAGCGGACCTATGTCTAGCGAGGCGCAACCTGTCCACAAACTTTGCGTTGGAGAGGATGTTCTCCACCGTTTGCGCAAGAGCCTTCTGAATATTCTGATAGACCTGGCACCGAAGCTGCGCCAGAAACTCTACAATTCCAAGACCCGAGTCACAATGAAAAGTTAGCTCTTAAAATGGTTCACCAGACACCACGCTTCGACAATATAAAAGCCGCCCGCACCTATTTACAGTTGGGACTGTGCTAACCTGCACTTGCCCGCGTTTTGAATGTGGCTCACCTGAACATCAGGCTTTGCCTTGCCCCTCTTGGTGCTGAGGGCGATTTTTCCGAATGAATACATAAGAAGGACAAAGAGAAAACATCTTCTCATGCATGAAGCTAACCAAGGGACATGTTCCTTTGGCCAAGAGTTGGATGCTCCAATATTAATATAAACATATTTAGAAATAAATGCAAAATATTAATACATATATATGATATGGGTATGGCTCAAAATTGAACAGGAGCGGTTACGCAGGTTTTGGTCCATGTTTCCACTTACCAGGGCAACACATTTTGGTACCGGTTTTTTGAGCCACAGCCATATATACATATGTATTGAAACAGCAAATACTCCGTAGAAATAAGGAACCGAGTGGAAACAGAGCCTTTAGCTTGGGCCACGGGTGTCACGGCTGTGGGCGTGTGGCTCTGTTTGAGACTCAGTGCACAGGAAAAGAAAGAGAAAGCAAACTTGGCAAACCACCGTTTTTGTTTTTGTTTTAGATTTTCCTTTTTGGGTGGTCCCTTGTGATGAGAGAGTCGACTTGTCGCCCTGTTTGGTTGGTATTTGAAAGAGAACCATTTTACATCCCCATGCTTTGCAAACCTCATGCAAAAAGTGCTCAAAGAGATATCCCAGTTTTGGGGAAACCCTAGCTGCTTTTTTGTTCGACCCCTAGCTAGACCGCAAACATAAAAGGGATTGCCTTTAAAGGGGCCTCGATATTTGCTGCAAGTAACCCTGGTCCTCTTTAACCCTTAGACCACTGAAACCACCTTTAAACAAAGAAATATCGCCCCTGTGCATGGACCACAACATCTGCACCGCATGAAACCCTAGGAATGTGAATTCTGTCCATCCACAGCATCTCTAATCGAAAGTATAGTTTCAGGGTCCGAGTATCCAATTTCCCCCGGGTGTTGTATATATATATATATATATGCATACATGTACATATACACGTATACTACATATAAAGATATACGTATATATATACCTTATTGTAATCCATATACAATATATATATATATTGTATGTATAAACATATTAGGAATGTATATATATATATATGCATATGTGTATTCATTGAATATTTTCCCGCCGGCCTTCTTAGACTTCCAAAAGCTGGACACCTCCTCGGCCCTCTCCGGTGTGACGAAGCCGGTGCCGGAGACCCGGACCATGTTCTGAAAGAGCATCATGGAGGTGGCCCCGATCCTGAAAGCCCCAAGCCAGCCCCAAGAGTTGATACATGTTGCCCCGTCCAAGGGTTAAGCTCAACTACAGCAACATGGCCGCCTGCTGTTGCTGTTCAACACCAGAGAAGTCCCAGCAAAATGTTCAACCTCCAGGAATTGGGTCCTAAAGGAAGCCGAGTCTCTTGGGTCAAAACTGATCCTAAAGGAAGCCGAGTCTCCTCCTCATGGCCTCCACGCTTCTGGCTTTGGAGAGTGGAATGTGCGTATGGGCCCAAAATCTTCAACCAGAAAAACGACCGCTGGCTTTAGAGCTTGTCTTCATTTACCAGGGCAACTCATTCTGGGTACCCTTCTTGGACGCACAGCAGGGCCTCCCTGCTTGAGCTCAAGCCTCCCATGCGTTTTGGCCCACAAAATCACGAGATTCAACCTTCGGAAAGCCCCCGGTCCCCCCCCCAAAAAAAAAAGAAAAGAAAAGAACAGCAGGTCTCTAGGATTCTCTAGGGGTGGCTTTTTTAATCGTTATTAGGGATTTGTTCTGGAAAAACATGGTGAAAACCTTTGGGGGAAACGCCCTGCAGCCATAGAAACCCACAACCCAACACCTGGAGGCACGGCAGGCCTTTGAAACGAAGGATGGCAGAGAAGAATGGAATTGGAATCAACCCCGTTCAAGCCAAACATCAGTTTCATGGTTGACCGCGCTAGTTTTAAGAGTGGGAATCATCCCAAAAAGTAGCTGCTTCCCTCTACTTGGTGTTTGCGATTGGTGGTTTGGTGTTCAGGGGGTGGTTTCCCATCTACCAAACCACCAATCCAAGCCACTCCAATTAAGGCTTGCCTGACAATGGTCCCTGCTTCCTGAGGCTCAAGTGGGAAGCTGCCCCTCGCCAAACCACCAGGCCACCGATTCGGCTCGCTCCAAGCCACACGCTTTTGGAGGGACCACCGAAAAGCAAAAACAAACAGCCCCCCAGACAGCCCCGCGTCCCGGGTCTCTAGGGGAAATGAGATGGGAATATGGGTCCCAAAGCAGAGAGAAAGTCCCCAAGCCCAACATCAGGATAAAAATTGGGAACCTGGGAGCTTTAGGGTCCCTTGCCCCCCTGTTTAAAGAATGGCCTTGGGACCCAAGCTGGATAACAATCCTTATACAAACAATCGTGGTTGTATGAACCTTCATGGTTTGAATAGTGGTTTGCACAGCTGAAATAGGACATGCCATGAATTTTAAGAGATGGAGTCATCTTAAGAGGTGGCTGCTGGTGGACATGAATCACCGAATGTTGATGTCCACCCAAGGGTCCCTATTAACAATCACACCAGAATCCAGCCAGAACTAACAAAAGCAAGGCAAGTCCCTCAAAAGCACGGTGTTCAATAGGAACCCAAGCAAAAACAAACTGGCTAAGGTCCCGATCAAAATCGCCTCAACAGCAAACAACCACCAGAAAACAACTCCTGTTCACTGGGAACCCTGGATTGATAAACTCAGGGCTGATCAGTGGGGAGTCCCATTTTGGAGGAGACCCATGTATAACCCGCCAAAGCTAACCTCTTTGGGGCTTGTCTCCAAATAGACAACTCTGAAAAAATGCGCCGCCCCCGAAAAACCAAGGAAACAACCCCCGCGAAAGGGTCGTGCTTTTCTCTGCTGACACCTCGTGCTTGTGAGGGTCGTTTGCTGTGAAGCAGAACGATGCCACCATCCCAGCCCAACCAGTTCCCAAGGTCAACAGTTGAGCAAAGAGTTCTACACGTGTAGTGGGTTGAAGCAAACCAAGAAACACCCCCAACCCCGGCCCCAAACCCGAAACTGCCAGAGCTTGAAACATGAACAGCTGCACGATTTTCTTGTGGGGTTGCTACCAAAAACAACATCCCCCGAAACATGCCGATCCGAATCCCCAGAGCAAACCCGCAACCCCGCAACAGAAAGCCAGGATTGTGTTGCCCCACTTTTGCCTGGTTTGTCTCATAAGGAATCTCTTGCAATGGTGCCATCAGAAGAACCAAACAAAACACATCCGGCGAACAACAAATCCTAGAACATCCCTACGCCACCCACATTCCAAAGCCGCCAAACTCCAGCGGCGAACTCTGAACCCCTCAGACCCCTTCGGAACGCTCCACGCCAACTGGGCTGAGGTGAGGATCCCCGAAATTCGAGTGGGTTAAATGGAAACTACCACTAAACACCAAAAAGCTACAAGGCGAAGGAACCGGATGGCTGGGAGCCAAGAATAGGGCGCCGACTTTCTCCAAGAAAAAGCTAGGAAACCCGCAGCTTACACTTCGGCGATCCCTTGGGCCGGGGCGCATGTCGTTGATTCGGTCGTACTCCTTCTGCATCCACGCAAAGGTGTCTTCGGCCCCGGCCTTGCCAGAGCTGGCCATGGCCATGGGGATGTAGATGAGGTCCTGGATTCGAAAAAGACTCAGAAAAAAAACTACGATCAGCTTCTTCTGATATAGGAAATCATCTCAAGCTTCGCTGCAAGGTGCCATTTGTAAAAGGACACATCCAACCACCACCCTTTACAAGGATTTGGATCCATTCCCAAATCAACTAGTAAAAGCGATTATTGGCCTGTAGGGAACCTTTGGTGAATCCATTTGCCTGTAGGCAGCGGGAACCCTTTGAAGACCAAAAGGAAATGGCTGGTCACCTTGCTATGTGGATCTTACTGGGTTGGGTTACTTGGCCCTTCAAACTCTTGAACCCTGCTTTGGATTCCCCACCCGGTCCTCCAACGCATTTTCGTCCGCTGGAAAATGATATATATATATATATATCCAGCCATGCATAGATTCCCAGTCAAAACCACCGGGGAAAAACAAGACATCTTTTTGGCAAATGGAAGGATTCGTTTGGAGATTAGGGCCGGGAAACCCCAGAAAAGCCTCTGAAAGGGTCCGAAGCCATTCAATCCATTGACCAAGGGTTGCCGGAACAAGCCCTGGTGTTCCCTTAAAGAAAGTACGGCTTCCAAGCATAGGTCTCCTTCCTGGTTGTTTTGCTCAAAAAATCGATGGCCCTGGTCTACCTGGTGGTTTAATCATCTACCAGGGCCATCTATTTGTCCCAAAAGGACACCTATGCTGCCGAGTCTTTCGCTTGAAAGACCGTTTTTTTTTTTTTTTTTTTTTTTTTTTATCTAGGTCCAGCTTCGCTTGAGCCAACCTAGGGGGAAACAATCACCTCACTGGGTGGAAACTTAACAAGGTCAAACGTCCAGTGGAGTTCCTCGGGAGAAAACCCTTCATGGTTGAGCAACTCCAACCCCCTCCCTCAAGAAAAACAACAGCAAAACAAAAGTGGAAGCACCTTTTTCTTTTCCGCCACTACTGGGACCAGGACGACGCCCTTTTCGCAGAGTTGCTGCTTGGACCGAAAAAAACAACCGGCGCGATGAGCGAAGGCCTCAACTACCGGGCCCTTTGAACAGAACGGGCGAGCCATGGGCCTCAAAGGAATAGGCCACCGGCATGCTGAAATGTGAGAGCTGCTCAACGGGACCCATGCCTTCGGAGTAGTTGAGGCCGTTTCGTTCCCCCGAAAAAGGAAGCCCTGTCTTGAGAAAGACTGACATGAGAATTGGCGCCTTGCCACCCTAGTTGTGGTTTGTTCCTTTTTGGGTGTGCGTTGTTTCAGTTTGAGGCCTTTGGTGGATATCACCAGACCCCCTGCCTGTGTAACATATTTTGGTTGCGTGACGCATAGATGTGGGTTCCCCGTGTCAGAAAGCTTGCAATACATTTCTCCGGAGGTTTCGCGGTGCGTTTCTGTTCTGGGGTTTTCGTTTTCTGGAAAACCCCTAAAACAAGCAACAAGGCAAAGAACCTTTACATTTCTTCGGGTTTCAACGGAGGTTTTTGAGCGTTCGGGTTGCGTTGGGCGTTTTGCCCGGTTTCCCGTCATTTCTTCCGCTTTCGCCCTTGTTTTCTTTTGCTTTTCGGGGGTGCTTCCGAGGCTTTCCCGTCATTTCTGCGGGCGTTGCCGCTTTTTTCGCCCCGGTTTTTTTCGGAACGAACCCGTTGTTTCCTCATTTCTTCGGGCTTTGCCGTTTTTCTCCCCGGGATTTCTCCGGCTTTTTAGGATCCCGTCCTTTTCCCCACGAGTTTTCCTGCATTTTGTTTTTTTTTCGGGAACCGTCCAGCCGTCCTGAGACCTCACCTTCCCGCTGAGGGTGAAGTCTAGGGCCATCTGCCGCTGCTTGGCGCTGGTGGCCTTGCCCAGCGCGCCGTACATGTGGATCTTCGCGGCGCCGTCCGTGAGCACTTCCTCAGCAGTCCGGGTCCTCCAGATTTGAGAGGTTACGGTTTAGGGTGCCCGATTTGTTTTTTCGGGGTTGTCTATACCCTCCAAACCAAAAAATAAAAGGTGAGTTAGAATAAGGTGGTACCAGAAAGGAGGCTCCTAAAAGATTTCGCCGATTTCGCGCACCTGGAGTCTCCATGACCCAACATGGGATGTTTCCTGAGTGCAAGCAAACAAATCAGATATACTCAACCACACAACCATGCTAATTCATGGTACATTGGAGAGTTACCTTGTTCCCCAACTTGCAACACTAGGTCCTCCAGTAGAGAGGTTAGAATAAGTTGGTACCCTCTTTTTCTTTTTTGTTTGTTTTAGTAGGGGATCCCTCCCAACCAAAGCACCTAGCTGGGAGACCTAATCAGATTTCGCCGATGTCGGATTCGGATCTGGAGTCTCCATGACCCAAAAATGGGGCCATGACCCGAATGTTTTTTTGTCCTGGCAGTTTGGCCAGGGGGGGTTGATCATTCACCCGGTTCCATTTTGAGCCTCATCCCGACTTTCTTCATGAGGAACACCTCCGTTTGCTTAGTCCATCACTCCGCTGGGGAAAAATTAGAAAATGTTTCGAGTAGTGACAGCTTTAACACCAACAGGGGGAAAGAAACCACATTCTTCAGCAATTGCAAGAAAGCGGGCACCGATGTTGTTTTGGGTTTTCATCTGTAACCCGGTGATTCCATTTACCTGGTTTAGGTCACCAAGAAAATTCGCCACGCTGGTCACCAACCTCTTGGGGCTAACACCGCGCCTGGGATCTGCGTTTCTTGGTGAAGTGCCTGGAAGCCCCGCCATTGCACGCTCAAAATAAGGAAGAACAAAAACGGTGGAACCCGCCCGCAGGGTGAGCTGCATGAGATTCTGGGGTGCGGAATTTGTGGGTTTGGGGAAAACTTGGTGGAAGTGTCTGTGGCTTCCTGGACTCAGGTTAATGGGGAGCTGGGAGACTTCATAAGGCTTCCAAACAAAGAGGGGGGCTGGGGGACGGGTAAGCCGGGGGCATGCAAGCATCTGACCACCTTTGTCTTTTTCAAAATTGCGTTGATCCCGGTTCGGACTTGTTTGGAGTTGTTTTACAAAATCGAAGCACACGGCCCATCTTGCTTTAAGCAGCGCTTCGCTTTGTTTTCACGTTCGAGCTGAGAGTACAACATGTCGTACGTCACGTAAAAGTGTCGGGTGACGAAAGGGGGCCTCTGGCCTGTTACAGCTCCATTCAAAGGAGACATAAAACTGGATTGTGGTCTAGTGAACCTGATGCAAAGTGACAAACAGAGATCCCAAAAACTGGGGGCCCCTTTCTGCTGGTTTTGCCTTGAAAGGATGAAACAAGGTGTAAACCATTTAGTGTGTGATATTGATTTGAGTTAAGAATGACTTCATGTTGGTATTACAGAAACCGGCCCTCAAACTGGGTCCGTTCCAGTGACACCGCTCGTTACTCTCTGAATCAAGGGAAACCATAATTTTCACACCCTCAACATGCAGCTCGAAGGGACCCCATGTGTTTTTTTCCACCACCACATGGTTGCCTCTCAAAGCAAGGGCCTCCTCCTGTTCCATGGTTTTTAATTTTTCCAGGCGAAAGCAACCTGGTTCTAAGGGAAAGGACATTTTATCAAAAAGGGGAAAACAAAAGCAAGCCAACAGGAAGCACCTCAAGGAAACCACCTGAAAAGACTTGCTAGTGCGATAGGGAATGACAAGTGTGGGTGTTGGTATTGAACCGTTCAAACTTCTCCTAAAGGAAGCCACAAGGGATTGTTGTTCTTGCGGTCATTCCATTTCTCATTCCCTGCCTATCGCACAAGCAAGAAGCTTCTCAGTACTGACACCAGGCGTTGCCTTAAAGGAAACCACAAGGGATAGGGGTCATTCCGAGCTGTCCTCAGATCCCCGCTAAAAGTTCAACTTTTAGTGGGCGAAATGCACAACCCCACTAAAAAAAAAACTAAGAAGCTCCCTGCCTATCGCACCAGCCAGACCAAAACCCAACCTGGCCCTAGGCCGAAGCGCGTGGACCTTGAGGAGCTCCTCAAAGACCGTGCTGTCGCTCTGCACGGCCACCTGGCAGGAAGGAAGGGGAGGGAGCTGGACATGAGTGCCTACATCCTCTGGGTGCTGGCTGGAGGGGAGGGGAGGGCCGGGCAAAAGGGAAGGGGGCCCAAATGACGCGAAAAGGCTTTTGTTTAGGGCCTCCGCCCCCAGCCCCCTGATCAAATTTACCGGAAAAGTTGGAAGATTGCTTCAATCGCGGGGTACTAAATTGAGTCATGGTTGTGCGGGTACATATTTGCTCGAAACTGGCTTGCCCCTTAGGTTCAGAGTCGTGACCCCGTGGGATGTATGATGGTTCATCTGCTTCCGAGTGAGCCCGATTTGCCGGCTTCGGATCGATACAAAGGGACAAAGCCCTGGCTTCTGCCTTTGACAACCTCTGAACGGGCGTAATCCATTTCGCACCCCCTAAGAAGCCCCGGAATGACTCCACTCCCCTTTTGAATGCCACACCTCATCGCGCGTCATAGTGACTCCCACACCACCCCCAACTAAATGCCCTAACCTGTGGTTTGTTTCATTCCTACGATTTGTTTATCATTCCCTGGCCGCCTCCTTGGTTTTGCACGGAAATTGACCTCCGCACACCTCCGCGCGCCACCTCCGCGCGTGCTCCCGCGCGCCTCCAGAACGGCCGCGCGGATGTCCGCGTTCAGAGACTTCACGTCGTTGGGCTCCGCCATGAAGACCTTGCAGCGCCTCACCGCCTCCTCCGCCACCCGGGGATCCTCCGAAGCCAACAAGAGCGGCGAAGCGGAGAGAGGCGAAGACGAGGTGAGTCATAATCAAAACTCGGTATTAAAAAACATCTACCCAGAACCATGTAAACTCAGTTGTTCAGTGACCCTGGCAAAAAAAGGGAACCCTTTTTTTTGGGAAGACCCAATCAAGCAGTCAAGCAGTCAAGCAATCAACCAATCCATCAATCAATCACCCAATCCAATCCAATCCAATCCCGTCCTGTCATCAGCCAATCGATAAACCAATGAACCAATGAATCGAGAAATCAACCCATCAACCAATCAATCAAACCATCAATCAATCAACCAACCAATCAACCACTCAATCATTCAATCCACCCATCCATCCATGCATCCACCCATCCGTCAAACAAAAAGCAAATCAATCCATCCATCCATCAAACAAATCAACCAACCAATGAAGCAATCAATCAATGAATCAATCAATCTAACCAATCAAAAAACACATTTCTGGCATCTTGTCTACCTACATCTCTTGGTTTGTATCTTCTCCTTTCTATCTCTTTATCTTTGTCTTTTCGTAATCTTAGGAATCTTCTTATCTTTTTTCAGTTTCTATCCCTCTATCCCTCACACCCGCCTTCTCTTTGTGGCGGGCACCATTTTTTTGCGTATTGTAAACTTTAGAAAAATGGAAATCTCCTTCCCTACAACTGACTCACGGATGAACTTCTGGTCAACAATTCAAAATCCAGATACTGGATGGAGATGACACGGAAAGAAGAGAAATAGCATGAGAGAAGAGCACCTACATCCCTTTGTCTTGGATGGTGCTTATCTTCTCTCCAATGCATTTCCTTGTCCTTTCCCTTCGTCAAGGATTTTATCTAAGATTGTAAACTCTTGTTTGTCTGTCTGTGCGTCTGTGTGTGTGTCTGCCTGGCTGGCTGCTTTGATTCTATGTAATTGTTCACTGACCTCTCTGGGGAATCAAATATGGGAAGCAGCTTGAATTCTCAGCTGACATTAAAATCCGATTTGGAGCCAAGTTTGACTCCGTTTCGCATCATGGTCTTGCCTTGGCCATGTGGGCCTCGACGGCTGCTGCTTGCTTCCTGGGCAGCGACTGGTGCCCCCAGGGCGCAAGCCAGACTGCCGGCCTCAGCCTCTCCTCTTCAGCAAAGGGCGGCAGATTCACCTCCCAAAACGGCCAATAGGGTTTTGGAACAGATTGTCAAACCCCTTTAGTCCAATGCCGATTCCTGGGTATGGGTGAATGCCCAGCCCCGTTGGCCCGGCTGTACAAACCTTTCCAAGGTCAATTTAAGCGAAGGCCAATGGCTTGGCGCGGTGTGCACCATGAGTTTGACCGCTTCCCCTTCCGCTGTGAGAGGTTGGATTGGCTTGGCACCTCGAGGTCTTCCCTTTTGAGACATCGCTGTGGTCTGACCGGCTTCGGTTGCCGCGAAGCAGAGGCTGATTGGAGCCATGTGAGGTTCGGTCAAACTCTGCATTAGTCAATGGTTTACGCGCCAATTGAAACAACCGTCCGCCTCCTGAGGCCTGAGCCCTTGAACCAACTGGGTCAAACTTAAAGACCAGAAACGTCAATCCATCTGCTCAGACGCGGCTTCACTCTTGGCCTGGCCCCTGCCAAGCGGCCTCGGCCTCCCTTTTAACACCAGTTTGGTACACCGCATGTGGGTTAAAATCCATGAAGAACACAACTAATAAAAGATGTCCAAGCAAACAAAGAATTTGGAAAGGCGTGGAAGATAATATGCTGGAAATTTATTTATGAATACATGTTCATATTCTTTCTGATATCATTCCTTCCCTCTCTTTTATTCCCAGTCTACCTTCGTTCCTGACATTGAATAATGGACGAAGAGATAGACGGGAGAAAGAGATTGGGAAGGGAATGTCATTCCATCGTATTTCAGTGTCGGAATCACATTGTGGATGAAAAGTGACTCATGGCATGAGATGGGCTGTTCCTTCGTCAGCGGTAAAAACCCAACATTGCATTGAGTTCCAGCAACCCATACGTACATACAAACATGCATACATGCATACACGCATACATTACATACATACAGCACATTACATATTACATCATATTACATTACATACCTTATATACACTACATACATTACATACATTACATACAATACATACATTACATGCATTACATACATTACATACATTACACACATACATGCATACTTCATGCATGCATGCATGCATACATACATGCATGCACATGCATTGCATACATGCATACATGCATACATACATCAATACATACATACGTACATGCAAGCATACATACATTACATACATACATGCGTGTTAACATTGCGTTACATTACATTACATTGCATGCATACGCGCATATATAAAATACATACATTACATTACATTTCAGCACATTATATTACAGTACCTTACACTACACTACATTACATTTCATTACATACAAACATACTCACACGCATGAA